AGAGATGTCATTCCCTCTGTCTGTGGATCATCCCCACCAAAAATACAGAACAATACATTCAGAACAATCAGTTGCAACTCACAACTGACATAATCACAAGTCCATTTTCTCTACATTCTTAAGTGAAGAAGATCCAAATCTTTGGATGCCTGAGCTTGTGCCCAGGCAGGAGCATGCACCATTTGAATGCACAACACAGAAGGTGAATGCACATGATCTGGGCAGAACACACCTGGATGCTGGCTGCAGAACTGTGGAGGCTGGTGGGCCAACAGGGAAAGAATCCACAACACTCCTCTGGAGGGAAAACCCCTCAAGCCACAGCCTCCTGGTTAGGGTGAGAAGAAAGGCTTCTCCCAGCACGCCTCCATGTGACATGCAGATTGAACATATCCCGTTGGCCCCGGTGTTCTGTCCTGCCCCTTGAGATCCCTATATTAACCCCTGCTTTCCCTGCCTGAGGGGCTCTTTCATCAATGGATCCCTTGGAGGAAGATGCTCAATAAAGGCTGTCCTTGGAACCCCACACGCAGACCCCGTCTCTCCTCCTTTGTCACCTGGTTCACTGAAGAGCTGAAATCACCCGGTGTGAGCACACCGTGCCTGTGCCCCTGAGGTGTCTTTTCCAAGAAGCTTCTTCAGAAAGGTTGCAGCACTCTGAACAACGCTGGCAGCAACACAGAACAGCTGACATATCACAGGGCAGAGAAAGGTGCACCATGTGAGCTTCCACAAATGCCAAAATAACCGCAACATCTCTTCCCACAAACAGTTCAGACTGAAGATTTAATATGTCATCTGCAGATAGTTGATTTTATCACTAAGGATGTGTCAAATCAATCCCTTTTGCTTTGCCTTAGTCAACCTAGTTTTTGTAAATACCATCTTTATTTTTCTTATTGCCAAAAATGGAACCACAGTATACAGAAAGCATCTACGGTTACATATTGAAAAATCTGAGTACTCACACTGAAAATTTCCAATGCTTCTATACCACAATGACTGTAAAATTTGGGCTATGTAATAATGCACTACAATTTACATTCCAAAGAAATTTCAGCAGGATATACTTAACTAGTTTATTTTTGATATGTTTTTAGCAATTTACATGGTCAAACTCTAGCACATAGAAAATATACTTTCTTAGAACTTCAAGTCAAATCAAATTCAAGTGAAACTAGGAAAATCAGCACAAATTAAGGTTTTGCAGGGCCAGCTACCAAAATACTATGCAGTTACAATAAAATCAGACTTGATTCACCAGATATTCCTTAGTTTTGCAGTAGTTTGTTGTTTTGGTTTTTTTTCCCTAGTGCAACATATAGCTTTTTGAATGTGCAAACTCTTCCCTATCAAGAGAAAGTGCAACACTACTTGCTGTGGCTTCTTTTTCATAATGGAAAGTACTGTACTGAGTTGGCCAAAAACAAACTGCAATTGGTTATTAAATACTTTGGTAGCTGTGCAACAGAAAAGTTTACTCAATTCTTGAGCATTACATTCACAACCAGAAATGTTTTAAGGCAACAGTGCGAGTGGAAGCTTCATCCTGGAGCTAAACAGACAAACAGTAAAACGTGTCTGGTGCACTAACAGCAAGCAAACGCACATGGAAATTCTTGCTGCTCCTCTAAAAATAATCCACAGGAGTAGCTAGAGCACATATTTATTTATCCTTTCTAAAAAATATCCGAGCTGAGCATGCGTACTATTTCAGATGTCAGCTACATCAATGCTCATAATTACCCTGAAGGATCTTCCCCTCGTGTTTCTATCCTACAAATCTCTACAGAATTAATGGGGTCTCTGGTATATAAAAAGGAATGAGACGGCTGAAGATTTTTGGTAAAATTTGAGAGTCATGTGAGAAGACAAGGAAATAACAAACTGAGGGAAGCAGAAACAAATTTTAAACACCATCCAGAACCAGTTTTCCCTTCCAAACTGTCAACAACAGTTGTGGGTTCCCTCTTCTTTATTTTACTTTGTAAACTAAAATCTAATCAAAAGATTCCTTTGTGAAGAAAAGGGACAGCAAGAACAGTTGCATCAGTGTTTGCTGGTTTTACTAACTACAATAGGAATGTACTGTAGGGAACAATCCAGTATTTGCAGGGGAATGGACTGGATGATCTAATACAACTTTTCCATTTCTGACTTCTTAGAACAGCTTAGACTCATCCAAGTTCTCAAAGAGATTTCTATCCAACAATACTGAATAAAGAGAACTCCAAGACAAGGACTGGGGCTTTTATTTTTCTTCTTCCTTTTTTCTTCTCAATATTAAGAGAGCCAAAATAGCAAACCATATGCTATAGTATACAACCATGAAGAAAAACTATAGCAATTAAATACCCATAAAATTTAGTATATCTGTAGAAAAAGTAGAAAGTTCCTTGTATACGTAAGTCTTCCAATAATTTTGGACCATTTTATCCATTTCATAACTTAGGGAAAAGCTCTTTTATAATATCTGAAATTACTAAGCAGTAAGGTAAGAAGATTGATGTAGAAATTTTTATTAAGCAATGCATTAAAAATAGAGAAATATCAGTGCTAATTGGTAATATATCCATGCTCATTTTCTTCCTACACTGCCACATACCAGGATCACAACATCCCTGGCCCAAGACTAGTGCACATTTTTTCCTTTCCTTTTCTTTTTTTTTATTACAAAATATGTGTCATCATTCTCAGTCTGCAGAATTAAAAACATTTGTCTTTGAAAGTACAGTTGACTTTAAGAAGTTACTGCTAGGAAAAACAGTCTTTCAAATAAGACACCAGAACTCAGAAAAAGATTTTGCACTCCTGAAGCCTTGTAACAGGGAAAAACTATGACAGATGGGGTTCGTTCTTCTGCTCTTACACCTCTCTTCCAAAAAGGCTAGGGACTGTCTTCTCTGAAACTTGAGAGGGTACTGAACAATCCTTCTAAAAATGTATTAAAGGTCAAACCAATACTATGAGTTCCACATACAGTTCAGCCCATCTTGAGGCAAGTATATGAACTAGATAACATTTTGAAAGCTCTTCATACCCTATTTTATGTACCAGACCTTCACAGAAATCAAAAGTGAGGTTTGGTAGCCTGTGACATGTGTCAGACCAAATGCTCTTAATAGTCTTAATTCTTGCAATTAAGAAACTTTGTATCTCAAATGAAATTAATATACTGTATTAAAGAAGAGCAACTAGTGAACACTAAAGACATAGTTTCTAGATTTCAATAATTATATCTATTTTAAGATAGTGTGAGGCTTGAAAGGACTTTAAAAGAAGCATCAACAGGGTCAAAGTTACATGTATGTCTAACTGGTCTATTTGGACCTAGAGAGCACATGATAAATAATGAAGATGGTTAGAATATTTCTGTGCCCTCTTGTTGTAATTGCAATATAGTGACAATTCACTGATCCCCTTTCTCATCTTTATTTTCTGTTACAGTCAGAAAGTCCAATCCACCCTGCAATAACAAACAACATGATAACCAGGGCATGCAACCAGGAAAGCTGCCAGGAGAGCCAACTGCTCCATACTGAGAGCACACTCCAAGTGAGCAAACCAGTTAACTGCTGTCTTCTTCTGGAATGAGGGCTAAAAGGCAGTTAAGTGGAGTTTGAAAACGTTTAGGTTTTGCCTCAATAACAAATTAGAGCAAATGTTGAAGTCAATGTTTCACAGATCCACACTCATTTTCTAGCCAGCCTTCTTTAATTCCCAAACCAGAAAGAAAACTAATTTAGCAGCTGACATAACTTTTTGCTTAGATGCACACCATTGTCAGCCTACATCAGAAAGATGACTGGTATTCCTCTTACAGCGATCTTCTGAGCCACCTGCACAGACAGCTGCAGCAAAGCCACAAGGAGTCTAGGAGTCATGGCACTTCAGCAATGTTGATGAAATTCTCTAGGCAAACAAATATTGCCAAGCACTGTTCCACTGTTTGTTGCCTTCGTGTATCAAGTGCCAGAGAGCATTTAGGTTTACTTTTATATGTAAATTCTCAGATATTTTGAAGAGTATCACCAAGCACTTGACCAAGTATCAACATTATTACATCTTTTTCCAGAATAATATAGCTGAAAAAAATGGGAAAATGTGATTCTTTCAAGCCTACTTAGAAATAATCCCAGTTTTAAGCTTCTTCTAGATCAGTAATTGACAAGGGCAACAAATGCTGCACAAGTCTGGATATATTCATGTCATGGGCTACTACCATCTACTGACTCATTTCAGACCTCAGAATTTCCTTCCAGCTTGAATTAGCTCGGTACTGGAGACTGAAGACATACTTACCATTTTGTAGGAGTGGAATATTTTTAACCAGCTGATTGGTCCCATTTTTCAGCTCCACACAATTTTAAGATTATTGGGATAGCTCTGTGTACTCCCACGGCATGCTTTGATTTCTTGGTGCTGATCATTTTTGTACCATATTTTACTCAAGTATTCATCCAACTTATTTTAGGCTGTACTTTAGTCCAGCATATTTATGAGCAAAACACAATATTAAATGGAGACAAGCCAATAAAAGAAACAGCTTACTAGAATTTCAGTTGACTTTGTTAAAGGAAATTATTTTAAATTAATGTGGCTACTGAACTCTTGCCATACTTGACCTCAGAAAATATATTCCTTCTAATTTTTGCTGTGAACGTTTATTTATTTAAGCTAAACTCCAGGTCTTGAATGTTGACCATAAAGAAGTGTCAGATTTCCTGCTACTATTTCGTACTCTTTTTTTCTAAACAAGGGCAAACAACACATGTTTGTTGCATTAGCATTACACTGCCAAAACATCACTCTTAAATGAAATCATTTATGTATTTTTGGTAAAATCTTATTTAACAACTTCCACCCCGCCAGAAACAGAGCTAAAACAAGGCTGTTTTGTTTTCACTGAGCAACAGTTTGGTCACTGGTTTACTAGATGGCGCTCAAAACATTTTTCCATATGCTCTTCTCAAAGAGAATCTGACTTAAATGTGATTTACCTTCACCAGTGAATGAAGGCTTTTTTCACCAAACATATCCCAGAGGAAGGTCAGGTCTTCCTGGCTGTCCACATGTGGCTGCAGCTGGGCTGGCAATGCAGCCAGCAGCTCGTACAGACCTATAAAATGAAAATAAAACACAAAGTGTGATCTAGGGTGATCTCATTAATTTCACTTAACAGTTCTGTGTAATTGGCTGCCTGGAGCATGTCATTTTAACTGAAGAGGGAGTCTGGAGTATCCAGCACAACATTAACTTGTATAACCAAAAGGAACATTTAGAAAAAATTACTAAGAAACAAGTATTAGCAGGGTACTTTTTACCTTGTCACAGTTGTCAAGCTTCTACATCCATACATATTTACACAAGGTTATGCAGAAAATTCATAAAGGTTTTGAGAAAAGGACAAACCCAGAAAAAAGCATACATTCCTTTGCTTAATCGTTATTCCATTTCCCTTGATGTTAGCCAAAGAGTGAAATGAGTCATGCATAGGAAAAACTTCCTTAAAAGAACAGAAACTGGATAGGGTGGTCCATTAAAAAAAGGTTCGTGGTTTTTCTAAATATTTCTTGCTAATATACTGCTTAATATTTTTTTCAATCCTGTGTTCAGCAAGGATCCACAGCAATACAAAAGCACCTTCTCTGTTTTGCAGGATTAAATTTTTGAAAACAAAACCAACACAGTTTTCCCAGACACACATGAACACAGAAATATTTCAGTAACATTTTTAATTTGCAGGTATTTGAGATTCTCTCTAGGGCTAAAGCAATTGCTGTTCTCAGTTATTTGTGGCACACCTCAGCAGCGGTCTCCGAGGGGCAGACAGTAGCACACTGTTCCACAGTAGCGTACAGCATAAAATATCCATCGTGCACACAGACCATCAAAGTGCTGTCCAAGAAATGTAGCAACAGTGTTTGCAGCAGTCCTCTTTAGGGAGGTAACCTGGCATGAGTTGATATCAATTCATAGCACATGTTTAATTTTCCTGTGGGATTACTTGGGGTAAAAAGGACAAAATGCCTTTTTCTCCTGTCTGCTGTCTACAAAAACACCAACAGTCTCCTGGGATCCAAGATACACGGTCCTGTTATTATTTTTAGTCTGAGTAAGTGCTGCTGTTCATCACAAGAACAGATTTACAACATATTCTTCTGGTAAATGAACATTGTTGTAAATTACAGGTTGCCTATTGCTATTATGTTTATTATGTCCCTGAAACTTATGATTTAGAAGATTTAGAATATTTATTACTAAGCATAATTTCACAACCTTTTCAGACAGTACATATCACTTTCAACATTGCATACAGCACCTTTGGGTTCTGATTATTTATATTTTCATGTTTTTCTGCCCTTCTGTAAAATATTCTGGGAAAAAAAACTTATTTCCAGATACATTCTTTTTGTGCTTCAAGCATTTTTTTGGTGGTTCACATTCATTTCTCTTAGAATCCTGTTTTTATTTAAATCTGTTCTTGTTTCTGCTTCAGAAATACTGTAAAAAGAAGATACAACTCAAACCACTATAATTTTGCAGACAGAAAAAAAGACCATCAAGCTTTGCCTAGCAAGACACAATCATTTATTGAGGTGACAGCCAGGGAAAAGAGGTCTCACTGGGACTTGTGACTCCAACTTCCCAGATTATTAGAACTTCAGAACTTAGAAAAAATGGTTGCTTTATCACACAATTTATGAAAACAGTTTCATTTAGAGAATGAAAATATTTTTTTAATTTAGAAAATTTTAAAAATTCTTTACACTTGGCCACTTTTGTTACTGTAAATATATTTACCTCAAAATAACCTGAAGGCTGTCAGAAAATGGAATAGAAATTTTCAATGTAAGCTTGCACTGAGGCATAACTGCCTGGGGACAATTCCTGTGTGTCATTCAGATGAAAGAAAACAGTAACTTCAGACACTTGCTTCAAATAAAAGGCATGTAACAGAGTAAGCTTTCTTTTCCTTGATCCATCAGATCTGCTTAAATTCCACATGTAATCAACTATAAAAACTATTCTCTCCTTGTAACTTGCTCCTCAACACTTTGATAATCAAATCCCTAGTGAAAAATAAAATGAAAGTTTGTATTTCCTGGTGGATTAACTATTAGTGACACAAGGGGAGACCGAATCAGCCCATAATGAGACTTTGGTTTTACACACAAAACTCCCAGAGAAAAACACCACCTGCCAGCACTCCAGGAGTGCCGAACCTGCAGGTCCTTACACACATGAAGGTTTCACATCCTGCTCAAAAGTTTCTGTGGGCTGTATTTATTTGTACAGCCCTGAACTGCCCCTTCCAGGGAAACGGGTGTCCATGTTCTTAGTGCACTACTCCAGCTTCAACAGCAATGCACCCGTCTGTGCAACTCCCCTGGGGAAGTGGAGACAATTAGACAGGTGCTGACTGATTTTATCCAATATCATGACCATGCTTCTAGTTCTTCCCTGCTTTGGCTCCAGAGGCCAGTGTTTATAGCTTTCAGCCAGAAGGAAATGAGAATCCATCCCTTCTCCACAGCAGCGGACTGTGCCATGCAGCATGCTGGAGAACACCACGCTCTTGCTCTTCAGACTCCTCCCAAAAGTGAACACTGTGTAGCCAGGAATTAAAAAAACAACTCCATCAAGGAGCCAAGTAAAAATCAGGCAGAAGGAGGTCTTAGTTTATTAACCTGGGGAGAACAGAAGACAAATATCTAGAACATTTCTAAAGAAAAAAATTGTGTGATTACAGATCACCTGACTCAGCTCCAGAAGGCAATGGCAGAAGAGCGTGGTAGCACCTCTAAAGGCTTATCTTTCCTCTTGTTTCTTCTTGCTCCGTCTGTGGTGCACAGTACCACAGAATCAAAAATTTGCAGATGGGCATTCTGATTTTTATCTATTAAGAAATAAAGTAGGTGGATCTTCTACACACACCTCCAAGTAAAACACGATTTTTACTTGTGTCTAAATTACATTAAATGTGTTGATGTTATTCATTCCACTGTGAAGCAACAGTGAAAACTGTGGCTGGCATGTGACTTTACCAGCACATTAAAGAAAGGGCTTTTGTGATATGGGACACAATAATTTGTCAAGTTAGTATAAACTGGTAATAAAGTTGACACCACTATATTGGTGTAATTTTACTTATCAAATCTGAACAATTGTCACATGCATCTTTCCTACATGTGAAGGGCAGTAGCTCAAACTCCTGCAGCCCTGTAAGATCTCACTGCACAGAGATGCTGCCATCCAGCAACAGAAGTAATCTGAATTTCTTAGTAGAGTGCTTCAGATCAACTTCAAACCTCCTACAAAACTTCTAAGTAGTATCTCAGGAGGTTTTAGAAGTCAGAGCCAAAGGCCATGGGAAAAAAGTGCAAGTTTAACAATGGTTTAAGTACTGCCAGGCAGTTAAAACCAGATTTTTTTTTAATTGTTCCAGTAGCAATTATGTAGTGTGAAGGGATGCCACACTGAACACTTTTGATTACTTCTAAAACCAAAAATTAACTTTCCAAAAGGTCACAGTGATACTCCCTAAAATACAGGTTGTCTGGCAAATTAAAAATGCATATTCATCGCATAAGGCCAGAGTATCAGCACCTCCAGGCTGAATGGCACTGCCTGCCAGGCCTTGATTGTGCTTTTGGTCTCAGTTTTGATGTTTCCCATCTTCTTGAATCATATGGCATGCTTGGACCTCACATTTTTTTGAAAGGTCCCACAATGTAAATGAACACAACCAAGAGTTTTAAAACAAAATATATCTAGAAGTTGTTTAAAAAAAAAAATTAAAAGCCAAGAAAAAAATCCTGTTATTTTTAATGCCTGATGTTGGCACCACTGTGTGGTGCCAAAAAAAAAATTTTTTTTGCTTTTATTATACACTGTTGCTATTCTGCTTAGGTTCTTGATTTTTTTTTAGTTTGCCTAAGTTTAACCAGCATTTATATTCAAAAGGAATCATGCACCCATTGGAATTTATTAGTATCAAACTACTCCAGGTGTCAAAAATCAGTAAAATAAACGTGACTTACACAAGAAAAACTAATTTATTTTGATTTTTAAAAGTAGATCATTTAGTCCCAGAAGACCTGAGCATACAAAAAAAAAAAAAAAAAAAAAAAAAGGCACCTAATAATGTGATTAAATATAGAGATGTAAGACAATTATGCAATTTTAAGAGGGGAAGTAAGTCTGGTCATTCCTACAGCTCAGGGGAGGGGAACCCCAAGACCCATCACAATGTAATCACACCTAAAAGGATAAAAGATAAATTTCAACTGTGTTCTTTCAACACACTTAAGCAGTTACTGTCTTCAGAGCACCTTCACCTTTTTCTAAACTTAATTAATACAATTTAGTTTTATTTGATCTGAAGACCAAAATGTAGAATAATGTTAATTCCAATTTAAAAACGTGTACAGTAGATTTGCACCTGCAATCGGATTTAAGAGTAAGAAGCAATGGAAACCTTTTAAATCAGAAACAACAGGACATAAAAGATTTTTCCAGTTTTACAAAATTGCTTCCTTTGTAGTGTTACATTCTACAGAAGACTGCTTGTTCCTAGGAGGAGAATAAATGGCTAAGCAATTGATTAAACTGTTCCCGTACTGAACCACTCACATTGCAGATTCCAGATGCTCTACATTCTTGACATCAGAATGGAAAAATTTACTGTTAGTCTAGAGAAATTTAATATCACCATTCTTGTCATATCCTTCATAGCTTCATTATTAGGACAAGTCTGTGGAAGCTATAAACTAGTGCTAAATGATAAAAAATATGGTCTCTGCGTTCCATCACTCTTGCATATTACAAGAAAACACCAACTTTGTTTTGGTAAGTGTAAGGAAAGAAATGGAAACATGGATGTGCCTTTGCTTTCATATGCTAATTAATTTCCTGAATTAGCATTCTGAACAATGATGCCAGGCTTCAAATCTAGAATTTTTACAGCAACTGAGGGATAATAAACACTAAAGAACATATATCTAAAGGCCCAGAACAACACTGTAAAAAATTTATTGTATTAATAAAATGGGACAAACCAACCTTTAAATTTTCCACTTTGTCAAAGGTAAAATAATCAGCACCATTTGCTGCCAT